GAGGGCAGCGGCGGCGCCGGGCTGGACCCCCCCGGCACGAGCTGGGGCGGCCCCCGCGGCGCCGCTTGCTGCTGCTGGATCACGAACTGGTGCTGGAGCTGCTGCTGCTTCTGCTGCAGGAACTGGTGCGGCTGCAGCTGCGCGTAGGCTGCGGGACAGGCGCGCCGTGGCGCTGCGGCCCCCGGCCACGGGCACCCCCGCGCCGCCCTCGCCTCCCGCCGCTGCAGCCCCCCTGCTTGGCCGGAGCGGCCGGCGTTCACTCTTGAGCCTAGTGACAACGGTGCTCCCGGCAGAGCTTGCCTGTGTGCGCAGGGTGCTGCCGCGCGCGCGGGGAGCGCGAACGGGCAGCAGGGGCCATCCGGGCTGGAATGGCACCGCCAGGAATCACATRAAATACATGGAGGGAAATAAAGGGGAGGAAAAGGAGAGGTGCCGGCCCCAGTGCATCGCCATGGGGCAGGAGGGGGGAGAACCTCTCAGCCTTGAGGGTGCCCAGCAGACCCTGGCACAAGCAGCTCCCCATGTTCTCATACGAGGTTGAAAATCCCACACAGAGGAAGTGCCAGGGAGGGTTGTCATTAGGTTTCAGAGTGAACACCCTCTGCAGGCTGCCTGAAGGGCTCTTCCCTGAGTTTCTCAGCCCCCGAGTGGGTGGCAGGGCCCCTAAATGGGTGCACCATGTTGTCAGGCTGATAAACAGACAGGACAACTGGTGTGCAGAGAGTGCCAGTGCAGCCCGACATTAGGTTTCAGAGTGAACAGACTGCCTGTCTCGGGGCAGTGTTCAGAGCCCCCACGTGTGAACTCGAGGTGGCAGCTCTCACACCATGACAAGGGCGCGACGCTAAGGAAGCACAGTGGAGGCCATCATTAGGTTTCAGAGTGARCRTCCCCAAACGCTCACGGCCGTCGGCGCGCTTACCTGGGGCGATGAGCGGGTGGGTGGCAGCGGCGGGGGCAGCACGGGCCAGGGGGTGGGCGCGGGCATCGGCGGCGTCCCCCTTCTTGAGGTGGTCGGCGGGGGGCTCGGGCGGGCCGGCCTTGGGGGCGGCCGGTTTGGGGGGGCCGGGGGGCTTCATGGCCAGGGCGGGCAGGTGGGGAGCAGCGGTGGCGGCGGGGCGCAGGGCCAGGTTCTGCACCTGCAACGGCGTGGGGTGAGGGGACAACGGCGCCGGCGGGGACAAGGGGGCCGCGGGGCGCCTGGGGCTCACCTGGGCGGCGGAGGCGGGTGGCGGCGCCGCGGGCGCCGCGGGGCTCTCGGGACGCACGGCGGTGACGGTGGCCGTGGGGGTGAAGATGAGCTGGGGGGACAAAGGAAGAGCTGGGCCTGGGTGGGGGGACAGCACCGGGGCGGGGGTCAGCACCCGGGGACACGGGGGACAGGACCCTGCAGCGTGAGCACGCGAGGGTGGCCTGGGCACATGGCAGGTCACCCTATAGGGATGAGCTGCAGGACACCCTATGGCATCCAAGTACCCCATGGTAGGGTTGGTGTCACCATAGAGGGGCTTGGGCACCCTATGGTGGGCTGGAGGACACCCTATTGCAACCCGCGGTAGTGCTGGGGACATCCTATGGGGGTCTGGGCACCCTATGGTGAGGTGAGTGACGCCCTATGGCATCCCACAGTAGTGTTGGGGGCATCCTATGGGGGTCAGGGCATCTTATGGTGGGCTGCAGGACACCCTATGGCATTTGGGCACCTGAAGCGGTTCCTGCAAAGAATGGAAGAGTTGGAGGTGCCCTATGGGGTCTGGGTACCTAAGGTGGGCTGGAGGGCCCGCTATAGGTTCAGAACATCCTATGATGGTCCTGGAGGACACTATGGAGTCTGGACACCCTGTGCAGCCCAGGCAGCCCWGAGCAGACACGAGGACATCCTATGGGGTCTGGGGACTTAAGATGGGACACRGGTTCCCTATGGAGTCTGGGCACTCCACAGGGTGCCAGCACCTCATGATATGGTCACAGGCACCTTAGGAGGTTTAGGCTCTTAAGGTGGGGCCTAGGACACCCCACAGGGTCCCAGAACCTCATGATAGGGTTGGGGAGACCCTACAGTGTCTGGACACCCTATGGGGTTGTGGACCAGAGCTGAATCACCCTGCAGGACCTAGGGGCACCCCATGATATGCAGGCACCCCATGGCAGGGTCGAGAGCAGCTTATGGGGGGTCCAGACACCCTAGGAGGACAGGAGGGTGCCCCTGCGGTGCCACAACCCTCTGCCTGCACGTGGGGCGCCCCTCTCGCGGCCGCGCCGGGACGGGACCCCCCAGGAGGAGGAGGAGGAGGAGGGCGCGCGGCGCTCACCATCTGYGCACGCAGGTACATCTGCGCCTGGCTGGCGGTGAGCGCGGGTGAGGCGGCATTGCCCAGCAGCACCGCTTGCTGCGCGATGCCCGACGCCGCCGAGTTCACGCTCTGCGCCCGGTTCAGGAGCTGCGCGGCCGCCGGCGCCGCCGCCAGGTTGATCTGCGGGACGAGGAGAGGGCTGGGTGCCGCGGCGGGACACGTGGGTGCGCGGGGCGGCCGCGCGGGACTCACCGTGGGCTGCTGCGCCGGCGCTGCGGCCGCCCCGCTGCCGCCCGACGGGCCGCTCTGCCGGTTGGCAGCCAGGCTCGCCTGCGGGAAAGGAGGGCGCAACGTGACCGTTGGCAGGGACACGGGCACACGGGGGCTTGGGGACATGGGGAACGGTGCTGTGGGTGCATGGGTGCGGGTGGATGGTGCTGCAGTGCATGGTGTCATAGATGCATGGTGTTGTAGGTGCATGGTGCAAGTGGGTGCATGGTGCAAGTGGGTGCACAGGGTTGCAGATGCACAGTGCAAGTGAATGCATGGTGCAAGTGGGTGCACAGGGTTGTGGGTGCATGGTGCAAGTGGGTGCACAGGGTTGTAGATGCACAGTACAAGTGGGCGCATGGTGCAAGCGGGTGCAATGGTGTGTGCATGGCATTGCAGATGCATACTGTCATGGGTGCATGGGAATTGTGGCTGCAATGGTGTGTTCATGGCATTGCAGATGCATACTGTCATGGACGCATGGAATCGCGGGCACTTGGAATCATGGATGTGATGCATTGGTGGTGCATGGCATGCAGGTGCTTAAAGTCATGGGTGCATGGGGCGGCAGCGGCATGGTGCTGCCACTGCATGGGGTCATGGGTGCTTGCAAATACACAGTGCTGCAGGTGCATGAGGTCATGGGCGGATGACGCTGTGGGTGCACAGTGCCATGGGTGCAATGCATCAGCGGTGCACGGTGCTGCGGGCACTCCGCAATGCAGCCGGAAGCAATGCCCCGTTGCATGGTGCTGCAGCGCGGCAGTGCCGTGCCGCGTGGCGGGACGCRGCGCGGGGGCCGTACCTGCTGCACGGCGGCCAGGCTCTGGAGCTGGGCACTCGTGAGGTGCTGCTGCTGCAGGGCGGCCGTCTGCAGCATGAGGTGCTGCTGCTGCGCCGCGTACATCTGCTGCAGGTACTGCGCCGCCGTGCTGGGCTGCCGGTGCAGGGCCTGCTGGATCACCTGCCGCGCCACCGCGCTCAGCGCCGGCCAGGCCCTTCCTCCCCCCAGCCTCCTCCTCCTCCTCCTTCCCCCACAGKGGCACCTTGGGGCACCCCAGGACAGCATCAAGAGCCAAGGGCGCCTGCCAGGCTGGCGTGGGCAGCACCCAAAGCTCCCACCGCATYGGGGCTCACAGTGCTGCTTTCCCCCACCCCCATTTATACTTCCCACCTCATTTATAACCCCCTCATTATTTATACCCTCTCCATAATCATTTATACCCCTCCATCATTTATATCCCCCCGTCCCGTCACTTACAGCCCCCCAGATTTGAGGTTCGGGTACAAACTTGCCACCCGCGTGTTTTTCTCCACCTTGGGCCTGGGGGCATTAACCCCCCCCCACACACACACTCTGACACCCTGCCCCTCCACACGGTTTGTAACGGGGAGGGGAGGGCAAACAACCCACGTGCCCCCCCCGCCCCCCGGCGCCTCCACGAGCTGCTAACGAGCCGCCAATGCCCCCTGCACACGCGCCCCCCCTACCATAACATCCCCCCCCTGCACGGGCACCGCGGCCCCCCTTTTATTTCGCGGGGACGGGAGTTACCCCAAAACTTCCCCTCTCCGCAGCCCCCACCCCCACGCGCCGGTGCGGGGCGGCCGCCACCCGTGTCACGAGCCGCGCGGCCTCAGCGGGGCGGCGCTACCTGCACGGTCTGGCGGTCGGGGAGGCCGCTGTACACGGAGATCTGCGGGCCGGGCGGGCGGCCGGTGCCGCCGCCGGTGCCGCCGGTGCCGGTGCCGCCGCCGGGCGCCGGGAGCTGCTCGTTCTCCATGGCCGCGAGGATGAGGAGCGAGGGGATGAAGGCGCCGGGGGCCGGTCAGGCTGGAAGAAAGCGGGGGGGAATAAAGAGGTGGGGGGTGTTAAAAGCAGGTGGGAGGCAGCTCGTGACACCCGGTCTCTGCCGCTCGCCGCGTTGAACCCCCCCCCGGCCCGCCCCGCGGCGGCTTCAAAGGGCCCGGCCCCCCCGCCCCATTTCCTGCCGCCGCGGGGGGGGAACAGGACGGGACCTCCCCCCTTCCCCCCCGCCAGCCGCGCGGCCGCTCCCGCTGCTCCCTCGGTGCCAGGCCGCTATTTTACCTTTTTCCCCTCTTTTTTATCCTGGGGGGGTGGGAGGGGGGCCGGTGCCGCGCCGCTCGCGGAGCCCCCCCGCCCCGGCGCTTTGTTCGGCCGGGGGGGGAGTGAGAGGGGGCAGCGGCGCCGGACCCCCCCCCCGCCCATCCCTCCCCATTTCCCGGGAATTGCGGGGTCTCCTAGCGACCGCCAATGCGCGCCGGGCCGGGCCGGGCCGGGAGCGCGGAGCAGCCCCGGAGCAGTCCCGGAGCCGCCCCGGAGCGGCCCCGAGCAGCCCCGGAGCAGCCCCGGAGCAATCCTAGAGGAGCCCGGAGCAGTCAGCGCAACCCCAGCTCCAGCCCAGAGCAGCTCCAGCAAAAACCCCGGGGAATTCACCCTGCCGTGGCCCCGCACAACCCCGGAGCAATCCCAGCGCAGCCCTGGCGTAACCCCGGCGCAGTCCCGGAGCAGCCTGGGCAAAACCCCGGARGAATCCTGGAGCCGCCGCAACGCAACCCTGGAGCAACCTCTGCATGACCCTGGTGTCACCCCAGAGCCACCCCCGGGGCAATCCCTGTGTGACCCCACAGCAGCTCTGGAATAACCTTGGAGCAAGCCCAGAGCAGCCCTGGAGGAAGCCCGGAGCAACCCAGGAGCATCTCAAGCGCAAGCCCAGAGCAATCCCGGAGCAGCTCCAGGTGCCCCTCACTGCCACTTTCCTGACATGGTTTGTGGATCTATGGACACAGAGGTCAGAGAAAGAGAGGAAAAGGGCAACGAGGAAAGGAACAGGAAGATGAAGGAAGGAGGGAAGAAGGATGGAAAATGAAAAGGAAGGGAAAGGATGAGCGAGAATGGAAAGAGACGAGTACGGAAAAGAAGAAAGGAAGGAGAGGGAAAGAAGGATGATTTGATGGATGGATGGAAGGAAGGAAAGGCAGAGGAAAGGTAGGAAAGGAGGAAGGAGGAACGGGAGGAGGGGAAGGGAAGCAGCACCTGCCTCCATGCTATCACCTGGTGGGTGCCGCCATGGCGGGTGCCACCACCGTGGGTGCCACCACGGGGGTGGGTGACACTGCAGTGGACACCACCATGATGACAGCAGGTGCCACAATGGCAGGGCCTGCTGCAGCAGGTGTCACCGCGGCAGGTGCCACCCTGGCCGGTGCCACCCTGGTGGCAGTGCCACCGCAGTGATGGCACCAGCAGCACCAGGGACAGCAGCTCCCCCAGACCATGGACAGCAGCCTTGGGGGGGGGACACGGACCACCCTGGGCCTCCCTTGGCCGTGGTAGACCCTGGGCCACCACTGCTGCGATGGCCACTGGACCTGGCCTCATGCTGACACGGCTGGGGTGGCTTTCCTGCCAGGACGTGCTGGCGCCTCCGGAGATGCCTGGGAAGAGGCAGCGCGCAGCAAAGGGATGGGGACACACATGTCCCCCGGCCCCTTGCGCCTGCCAYCCTGCCACAGCTCTGCTTTTCAATACCCAGAGGGTTTTCCCACTGTCCTGACCATTTCGTGGCTGCAGGAGTGGCTGGCCGGTGTGTCCTGCCGTGCCCGCCGCTCCGGCAGCGTTTGGCSGTCCCGTGAGGTCCGGGGTGGATTTCATTCAATCAGTGAGCAGGAAAATCCAGCCGCGGGAAAGGTTTCCCCCCGCTGAGTGGCAGCAGTGCCTTTTTTTCCGGAAGAAAAGACGGGAACGTCCCCAGGGGCGGCTACGCTGGCCGGAGCTGATGGCATCAGAACGGTGACAGCGGCCTCGATTGCCCAKCCCATCCCTGCCACCATGTGCAAATCCCGCGTGATTCGAGCAGGAGGAAGTGTGGGAAAACYGACCCGCTCCAGCCTTGCCCGGCAATTCCCTGTGACGGCGTTAATGGAAACAGCCCGGGAGCGGCCGGAGGTTCTGGTGGCTGCAGTGCTTGGCACCTGGACTAACCTTCCAGCGGCAGTGGAGCCTGGTAGGGATGGGGATGAGGAGCCTCCGCGCGGCCTCTGGAGGCCATAAACCCGCCTGGAGCCAGACAGCAATTACGGATCTGCCGCCATCGCCGCCCCCTTCCCTGCCCGCCACCCGGGGGGCAAACAGGCCCCAAATGGGCTGRAAAGGCCTTGCACCCTGTGTTTGCACTCTGGGTTTGCACCCCAGGTTTGCAGCCTGGATTTGCATCCCTGGATTGCACCCTGGGTTTGTTTGCGCTCCGGGTTTGCAGCYTGGGTCTGCATCCTGTATTTGCATCCCGGGTTTGCAGCCTGGCTCTGCCGCCCAGGTGTGCATCCCGTATTTGCCTCCCGGCTTCGCGCCCTGGCTTCGCACCGCGGCTTCGCCACGGAGGCCGCGCGCGCGGCGCCGGGCAGAGCCTCCGTCCCGGCTGCGCGCGTCGCRGTGGCCGCGGTGGCAGCCAGGGCCTCCGTGTGCCGGCACGTGGGGAAGCGGCGGCCTGGGCGCGGGCCGGAGGGGAGCGAGAGGAGGCAGGCGGGGAGGCAGGCGGGGAGGGAGGCCGCGGGGAAGGGCGCCGGGGAAGGGGGGGACACGGTGGGGGCCGCGTCGCGGTACCTGCGGCCCGGCGGGGCGGCCGGGCGG